CCTATTTTCCAAACCCCCTTACAAGAAGCTACTAAGGAAACATAGCAGCCAGAGGTTGAGATGCAAAGTACTGTCATACAGGACAAGCTGGCTAGGAGACAGAAGATAGGAGGAGAAGGTCAATTTCAGGCTGGCAAAAGGTTAAGAGGTATGTGCACCACAGGATTATTATAGCAATGGTGGTGTTAATTAGATTTATGGGTGAACTAGAAAAAGAGATTAAAAGGAAGCTGGCAAAGTTTAAAGATGAATAGGCAAAACTATTCATGCTAAGCAGGATGAGGGAGAATGTGGAAATTACTAGAGAGCCCTAACAGACACAGGATTGGCCAATACAGTGCAAAATGCAAGGCAAGGAATAATTTGCATTATTCAGACAAACACGCACTGGAATGAATAAATGAACTATTCATATTACATTGTTGAGGTTTCAGTTATCTGGAGCCACACAGGAAAGTGGCCTGTTAGGTGTCATTGTGGACAGGTCAAAGATAACATCTGCTGTTATCTGTTGAGGGGGGATTTTGTTTTATTTTTGAAGGGCAGAATTGTTTAACTAGATCTTGTACACCAGTTAGACAGATATAGAAGTCATACAACAGCCTCTATTCCTTGATACTGGCCACTTGAAAAAGCTAGCATGTCTATTCACCAGAAAAAACCCACAGAACTAAAGTTCATGCAAAATATTTTAATAAGTCACCATGTTGATTTCCCCCTACTTTCCCTACAGAAACTCCAGGTCCATAAGCAGGATGCTGTCTTACCTAAACTTTCAAACTTCTCTCTTGCGGTCTTGGCATAGGCATCTCGATCATGAAGAGCATAGGGAATAAACAAAACTCTCTTCACCTTCCTAGGAAAGACATAACATGATCACAACTTGGGCAAACAGTTTGGGCTTCATCAGCTTTGTTATATGGGCGTAACTAGTTGTAACAGCAGATACAAAGTTTAACCTACTTGGTTTCTCTCTCTCTCCACTACCCCCATTTAAACTTTCCTTGTGACCTAACAAGTTGGAGTTAAATGCAGAGCTCACAAGTGGTGATGAAAGCTTCGTATTGCTGAGTGGACATAAAGTTGCATGCTAACGGGGGTGAAAGGGAAGGGCTGCTTTTCCTGATACAACCAAGAAGAGGTTTTAAGAAGGCCTAAGATAAAGTAGCCTTCCTCTTCCTTCCTTTTATTTTAAAAAAGAAACTGTTTGCTTTTCCTACTTTTCCAACCACAACATCTGATTTCCAAAGACCTGAATGTCACCAAACCTTCAGTGACAATGCTGATAATGAGTACCAACAATCTTTTTAAAATGAATAAAGTTCAGGCTATGATTAACTTATGCCTGCTGTGTGACACTCCCATTTTATCAGCCTGTGTTCAGCCCTACGAATTTCGCTGAAAACTAAACACTGCAGCATTGTTTCTCAGCATACCAGTCTCTTGTCCCGTTCTACATATGTCCCTAGAAGGGCCCCAGTCCCAATGCAACACCATTGTCTATACCAGGAATCCAGCTGTGTCTCATGGTCCAGGCAGCCCTTCCACCTGGTGCACTAGCCTCCCCGCCCCATACTCTCACACACACACACACACACTCTACAGCACATTGTTTGATATGTCTGCTTAAAATGTAACCACTATGTTCTCTTCGCTAGAGCAGCCAAGACTGAGCTACACCATTATGAAGTGCACGGGGCAGCACACCTCGTCAGTGCTTAGCAGACAGAGACAGGCGGCTGCCATGAGTTTACACCCTAAAACTACCCAAGGGATCTGGGCAACAACATTCCCATTTAAATGATCGGGAACTGGGCACCCAAGCACCAGCGGCAGCTTTGAAAAGCGCCAGCGTTGGTGTACAACTGGAAGGTGTTGCTGGTTGTCTGGGCACAGTGCTAAAGAGGAGGCAGCACTGGAAGCCCTGCCCGGGGGTCTCGCGGAAGGGAAGCACTGCAGAGTAGGCACAGACTCTCCACTTGGGCCGCTGGCCCAGGCCAGCACACGCGCCTCCCTCCAGCTCTTGGTGGGCATCAGCAGGTGCCGCGCCCAAAGACGAGGACAGCACTTGGGGGCACAAGCTGCTCCCTGGCTCTGCACACGCCACAGGCGCTAGCCCAGTGGGGCAGCGGAGTCTGGCTGAAGGCTTGTCCGGGCAGTGCCCTGGCACAACAAGTCACGAGAGCAGAGCCACCGCCTAGGGGTGACCAGATGTCCCGATTTTATAGGGACAGTCCCGATTGTTGGGTCTTTTTCTTATATAGGCTCCTATTACCCCCCACCCCCATCCCGATTTTTCACACTTGCTGTCTGGTCATCCTATGCAGCCTCCCCAGGCGGGGTCGCCGGGCACTGGCACCTACTGCCCGAAGAAGCTCCTGACTTGCTGCTCGCAGTGGCCCAGGTACCCTCCGCCGCGCAGGGTGGAGTTGGACACCAGCAGCAGCCGCCGGGGGGACCCCATCAGCGCAGGCGGGTGTAAAGCGCCGCTGAGCAGGGCGGAAGCCAGCGCGCGGTCCTGCCCCTGACCTCGGCCCCGCCCCTCGGAGCCCTGCGGCTCTCAGCGCCGCCGAGTCCGGCCCGTGCTGCTGCGGGGAGGGGCCTGGAGGGAACCCGGGGGGCACCACGCCGGGCTCGATTGCTCTGGTCTGTTCGGCCAGGCCGCCTAGTTGCCAATCGACCTGTGCGGGGACGTGGAGAGTCCCTGGAGCAGCGCGCACGGCCTGGGCCATGCTGGACTTCGCGATCTTCGCCGTTACCTTCCTGCTCATCCTGGTGGGGGCCGTGCTCTACCTGTACCCGGTAACTGCCGGGGGGGGGCGCGGTGTTCTACCCGGACCCAGTCACTGCCACGGGGGGCGGGCGCGCTC